CCACCAATTGCTCACAGCCTGGAGCGCCCCGGGGAGCAGGGGCGGGCTGGAGGCAGCTGGATTCCAATGCTGCCACAGGAACCTGGGCAGGGGGTGTGGCTGTGGCCTCTGGCTTCACGGCACCCCCAGCTGAGACCCGCCGGGCACCTGCTGCACCCCCAGCACGAAGCCTCCTCGCTGGAAGTCCAGGATGGGAAATCCATTCCTTTGGGAACGTCCCTGGAGGAGCGAGTTCTGGTGTGTGCTTCAGAGCTTCCTGGGGACGGTGGCAGCAGCCGAGGAGCAGGAGTCCCCCCGAGGTGCCCGGTGCCACATGAGGCGAGCGGGGAGCGTCCCTGGGCCACCCAAGGCCCCTGGGTGCCCACGAGGGCCCCGAGCAGCTGGGGCTCAGCTCTGGCTTGAGACACAGCCCCGAATTTACATCCTGACACACTCCAGCTTCAGCTCCCAGCTGCTAGGGCCCACGGTGCTGGGAGCAAAGTGCTGAGGCTCTCACTGGAAGTGGCTTCGGCAGGTGCCGAGTTCAGAGACACAAAACAAAACAAAGAAAAGCCACTTTTTCCTGTTTTTTTTTTTTTTCCGCAGATTTTTCTCTCTCTCCTCACTTCAATGGCTGGGCATTTCTTCACTAGGCACTAGGCGTTTTGCTAAGGGTTAAGCCGATGTGGTTCTGCAGAGTGTGTGCTGCCCCCGGCCCGGCCGCAGGAGGAGCCCATCTGTGTGAGGACCTTGTCCAGCCACTGCAGAGGACCGTTCAGATGCAGTTCAATCCAGCAGGGGGTACTGGTCACAGTCTGCCGCCTGCGAGAGAGCGGGTGAGGGGAGAGAAGGGGGGGGAAAAAAAAAGAATATAAACGTGACTTAGAAAGCTGTAGAAATGTGAAGAGTTTTTACAGCTACTGGAGCATTCCCTCCTGCTTAGACAATAGGCTTGCGTGTGGGGCCACGGGAATCTCAGGCCTCTCAAACACACTTTTTTGGTCTCTGCTGCCAGCTTCTTATAGCCCCCCACCTTTTCCCTTGATGTTTTCTATGATCCCAAAGGAGCAGCTCACTAGGAAGCCTGTTTACTGCTCAGATCCCTGAAAACAGGCAGCACCCCATTCCCTGGAGACAGAGGAAGATGTTTAAGGAAAATTCCCCGGTGCTGCTTTGCAGACCTTGCCTCTCATCAGGCAGCAGCACAGGCTGGTGTAAGAGGAGGATTTTCCCTTTTCCCTGTGTCTTTAGGGTTTAGCAGAAAGGGGAGGGATGGAGAGAGAACCCCCTGAGCTGCTCCGACTCCTGTGGAGCCCCAAGGAGCCCTGTCCCCCCTGGGGCCTGAGCTGCTGCTGAGCATCCTTTCCACACAGCTCGAAGGATGTGCTGGAGGTCTGAACCCCACTCCGAGGGTCTGAACCTCCCCATGCTGTGTCTGGGGCTCCCCAACAGATCTGCACCTAAGCAGCTGCCTCAGGAGAAGCAGAAATGGTGCAGAGTGTAAAAAGTTGCAAAACTCTACCAGAAAAGCAGAAACCTAGTATTAAATCATGTGTTTTAAAATCCCAGAATCCCAGCATGGTGGGGTTGGAAGGGACCTCTGGGGATCGTCTCATCCACCCCCTGCTCCAGCAGCTCACCCACAGCAGGGTGCCCAGGGTCACAGCCAGGGGGGTTTGGGATCTCTCCAGAGCAGGAGACTCCCCAGCCTCTCTGGGCAGCTGCTCCAGGCTCGGCCACCCTCACACCAAAGAAGTTTCTCCTCCTGCTCAGGTGGCACCTCCTGGGTTCCAGTTGGTGCCCGTTGCCCCTTGTCCTGTCACTGGCACCACTGACCAGAGTCTGGCCCCAGCCTCTTGCCCCCCGGGGCCCTTTAGCTCTTGCTCAGCACTGATCAGATCCCCTCTGAGGCTTCTCTTCTCCAACTGCACAGCCCATGTACCCCAGGAGACCACTGGCCTCCTTGGCTCTGAGGACACACTGCTGGCTCATGGTGAACTTATCCCCAGCACTCCCAGGTCCTCCTCTGTGGAGCTCAGAGTTGGTGGCTGTGGGCAGAGAGCAGAGGGAGGTGCCTTGCTGGGTCAGTGCACACCACGCTTCTACTCTCCCCTGCTACAAAACACATTCCTCCCCTCCCCTCTGTTATTCCCCCTGAGGTCAGACCCCACGGAGTGCCTCCAGATGGGGCAGCAGGACGAGCTGGGGAGGGAAGGGAGGCCAAGGGCCAGGGCAAGGGGCTCTCCCTCCTCTGCCGAGGGACGGCAGGAGTCCTGTTCCAGGCAGAGAGGCAGGGACAGCTGCTGTGGAGGAGGAGGATTATGAAGAGAGAGAAATAGCCTGGAAACAGCCTTGTTTTACACCCCTGCTTCCCACAGAAGCTGTCCTTGGAATCTGTCTGTGGGAGGGAGAAGCCGAAGCTGTGCGGGCTGGTGAAGAAGCGCTGCTGGAGAGGGAACCCCCTGCTCCGTGGGGCTGCCCTGTGCTCCCCCCACACCCCACCCTGGCTGCCAGGGCAGCGGGCTCAGCTCTGCCAGGGCTCACCCCGTCCTGCCCACGAGTCTTCCCCCTCTGGCTGAGACTGGGAGCAGGTCCCTGCAGGCACCCCTCCCACCCCGAGTTACAGAGCTTGGCCTCTACGGCGACTTTGTGGTAGGGGTTTGGCTTCGAGGTGTGGGCTTCGAGGGGTGTCTCGTGAGCTCTTGGGGTGGGAGGACAGCAGGACAGGGACAGCAGAGCACCCCTCTGGCTCTGCCAGCTCCACCAAAGCACAAACCTCTCGGGTGCCAGGAAAAAAATAGAAAGTCTGCCTTAACTCAACACAGAACACTCTCCTGTGCTGCCTGAAAGCAGCTCAACACCCAGCAGCCCAACAACTGTCCCAGCAACGCTGGGCAGAAACCCACCACCCGTGGGGCTGCTGCACTTCTGCCCTCCACAAACCTACCACAGCCAACTTCCTTCTGCCTCCCCACCTAGATGACCAACATGCTGGCTCCAGCCTCTCAGAAAGGCAAACCCCTAAAGCTCTCTGTGCCTTCAGCTTGCTCCTCGGGGCTCTGGTGGGACAGGAGAACCTCTCTATCACAGGCTGCTTATGGAGCTGGCTTCTCCCCGCTCCCCCACACCAAACCCCTGGCATGTGAGAGCCCTGAGCACTCCTCAGTGAGACTGCTCCAAACACTGAGCAGCCAAAGCAGCCACCACTGGGTGCAGCTCCCACAGGAACGTTTTCACCTAGGAACGAGGTCAGTGAGGGAAGGTGCTGACAGAGCCCACCAGATGCAGCCTCTTGTGGACGTCGCGGGCTCCGGGGCGGTCAGGCTGAGCGGGGTCTCGCTGCCTGCCCCACTCTCAGGAGATGTTGACTTTCTGAAAGCCACGTTCATCTGGATTTCATTACGAGCCGTGGCTGTGAGCCAGGGCTGAAACACTCTGGCCCTCGTGCAGGACGATTTCACAACAAAATGGACTCCAAACATCTGGAGAAGTGCAGAAAGCGGGAGAGTGGCGTGCGGGGCTCCGGCTGTACCGTGGCACCTCCCCCTGGTGCCCCCAGATTTTCAAATAAGGCCACGGATTTGAAGGGTACAATTAAGTGTTTCGAAATCACTTTTGGCTGAGATCCTTGCCAGCTTTCTCTCACAAAATGACATTCGTTTTCCAAGGCATTCTGCCTCCCCTGCTCGTGCTATTAAACGCTGACTTCACTCCCTTTGCTGCTCGGGGACGTTTGCCTGCCACAGCCACACGAGCCCTGGAGTAATCCGTCCCTCACACTGCTCCTGTGCAGCCAGAATACCCACACCATGAAGCCCAGACATCAGGCCCTACTGCATCTCCTTTTTATCTCCCATATTCACCAAGGAAAAAGAGGAACCCTGTTTCTCCCACTGCCTCGGGTCACACTTAAGCAAGGAACACACTTAAGGAAAGGATGAGGAGATTTAACTTTGATTTTGCAATGACTCTACTGGTTCTTCCAAAGAGAAATTTTCACACTGATCTGCTTTTATTTTAGTCCCATTAGTCCCTGCTAAAAGCAGCATCAAACCCAAACCATGTCTATTAGGATCCTGTCCTGATAACAGCATAGTCATAAGACACTCAAACTATCAACATCTACGTCTGTACATCTGTGTCTACATCATGTATATCTACATCTAATTTTAAGGAAAAAAATGTAATAGTTCCTACACTGGCCATGTAGATTCATCTCCTGAGCTTCGGGCTCTTGGTTCATGCAACACCATGACAAACACACATGGTCTTCCACGTGTATCACATGATGTCTGTTTTACACAAACAGGATGGGAAAACCCAAGGGACAAGAGCAAAGCTCTCCACAGCTACAGCCTGTGTTCCTGAAGAGACACAGGGCTAATTCCCCCTGTCCTACCCACTGAGTAAAGAAGCTTCAGGCCTCCCAGGCTGTGAAATACAGGAGTGGCAACAGCGAGCACGTGGCAGTTCCCTTCCAGAGGCCTGACCTGTACTCTGCTCCCCATCCCTTGACGAAGCTCATGCGGATGGTGCACATCCTGGTCAGCTGGTAGACAGCTTCAAAGCCCTGGTTCACAGACTGAGCCAAGAGAGCAGCAAACTCCTGGTTGTTAAAGATCTTCAGGTTGCATCCTGTGAAGAAAGGGACATGACAAGAACAAGGCGTTGGCTTAAGGAGGTGAAGATCTCCATTTCTTTCTGAGGGTGGGAAGAAGCTCAGGGCTGCTTTCCCAAACCCTCAGATCATGGCACACAGCTTCTTTAAACACCACGTTTCAGACAAAGGAATCAAGGTTGCCACATTTCCACAGCTCATATACTGAAAAGGAAGAAAACCACGTTCAGGACAGAGAACAGTGATTGTGATGAGTGAGACCAGATTTGGGATCTTCACGTGGAAGGTCCTTCCAGCTCCTTCAACCATCACCTCCCTCATATTGTAATTTAAAAGCCTATGACCATAACCCTTACCAACAGCAATTGCTCTGGGGCCTGGAAGAAAGGAAAGCACAGGCTAAAAACAGGAACTCACTGGTGCTGGATTTACATGGTGTCTATCAGCAGAAGAAATGGAGAAGTTCTGAAGTGAGCTCACTCTGGCAAGCCAGAGACCAGTTATTTGGGTTAAAAAGTCTGGTTCTTCACTCTGAGGGTGGTGAGACACTGGCACAGGCTGCCCAGAGAAGCTGTGGATGCTCTACCACTGAAGGTGTTCAAGACCAGGTTGGATGGGGCTTGGAGCAACCTGGTCTGGTGGGAGGTGTCCCTGCCCATGGCAGGGGGGTTGGAACTAGATGACCTTTAAGGTCCCTTCCAGCTCAAACCCTTCTGTAATTCCATGGCAAAGGTGAAATAGAAAACAGCCTTCATCATTTAAATAAAGAAATAAAGAAATAAATCCTAAAATAAGGCGTTGCTCTGCTTGCTTTCTCCAAGATAACCATAAACAAGTTACAACTCTGAAACTTGGCCTGAAACCAGTGCTCCTTTGGGACTCCATATGGGCCAAGATTGAAAAACAACCATTTGAACTGGAATGAATTGGTTTTATTTTTTACTAAAATCACTTCCGAGCCTCCTCTCTGGGGCTGGCCTCCTAGTGTCATCTCTTGTGGGTCGAGTGGCACGGAGCAAAGTGTAACCACATGAGCAGCAGAACAACTCCCTGTCCTCGTGGCCAGAAAGAGCAGGGCCCAGGAGCTCTCTGTCTGGCAGAGGGTTTGGGGGGGAGCTTGGTCAGACAGTCTGAGCAGGGGAAAGAAGAAGGGTGAGGGCATCCAGGCCAGGCTGAGCACTGAGGAACAGCTAGGGCAAGGAAAGCAGAAAGATCTCCCTCAGGACCAGCCTGCCACCAGGACTGGATGGGAACAGGGTCTCTCCACCACTCTGCCTGGGAGGAGAGGGTGCGACTTGATCTTGTCAACAAGGGAATGAAGCAACTGCTGCAAACCCAGCAAAGATCTGAAGATGAGTCTGAGCAGGCGGCCAAACGCTGTGGCAAAAGTGGGGAGAGCTGGAGTCCAAAAAAATGTGCCTCAGATGAATCTAGAGCGGAAATGTGGGTTGTTTATGCCTTCAGATGTTGACTCCAGCCAGGGTGGACTCTTGTGATGTGGCTGGAGAATTAAGTCATGTTTGTAACACTGGCAGCTGCTTCCCAAGCAACCCGTTAAGACAGGCCAGAGCTCGCAGGGTATGGATCTCTTCTCAAAGGAAAACCTTTATTCAAGTATTTCTAAACCAAAATGTTCATTTTTTAAATATAGATGTACTCTTAACTGCAAAAAAATCAGCTTTTGTAAGCCTAGTTAAATAGCTAAATCCCCTTTTGAATGGCATCCTCTCATCCTAGCTCTTTTGCTTGTATCTTCCCAGTGACATGCAAAAAATTCTCCTGTAATCTTTCAGCATACTTCAGAGATAAGTTTCCTGTAACCAGAACAACAAGGGGCCTGCAAATGTGATTTCCCTCAAATAAAACTAATTCACACAGGTGGGAGGGTGAGTTTTACTACAGAATAGGAAGTAACAATTTAAAGCTATCATGGGTGAATTTAAATTCAGAAAAATCTTTTCTTTTACTCAAGACACAAACAAAATAGGACTATCAGATAATTACAATACAAAAATGGACTGACAGAACACTGCGTGGAGCAAGTGGCAGGTTCTGCTCTTAGTTCTGCTGAGATCCCAAAGTCCTGTTTCTTCCTCCTTGTATGAATGTAGTGCAGACATTTGTTGGAGCGTGCACAGCAGTTTTATCAGTACCTTCATCCTTTTGGCCAGGCTGGATTGAGGGGCCAAGGTCAACGGGATGAGGTTCAACCAGGCCAAGGGCTGGGTCCTGCCCTTGGGTCACAACAACCCCCTGCAGTGCTCCAGGCTGGGGCAGAGGGGCTGGAAAATGCCCAAGGGAAAGAACCTGGGGGCTTGGTTGACAGACAGATGAAGATGAGCCAGCATGTGCCCAGGTGGCCAGGAAGGCCACCGGCATCCTGGCTTGGATCAGCACTGGTGTGGCCAGCAGAACTAGGGCAGGGATTGTCCCCCTGGGCTGGGCACTGGGGAGGCTGCACTTCAAATCCTGGGTTCAGTTTTGGGTCCTCACTCCAAGAAGGATCTTGAAGGGCTGGAATTTGGCCAGAGAAGGGCAATGAAGCTGGTGACAGGCCAAGAGCACAGGTCTTGTGAGGAACGGTTGAGGGAGCTGGGGGTGCTGAGCCTGGAGCAAAGGAGGCTCAGGGGAGACCTTCTGGCTCTGCACAGCTCCTGACAGAAGGCTGGAGCCAGATGGGGGTCAGTCCCTTCCCTCAAGGAACAAATGACAGAACAAGAGTAAATGGCCTCAAATTGCCTCAGGGGAGGTTGAGGTTGGCCCTGAAGAACAATTTGTTCCCCTGGAGGGTTGCCCAGGGCTGTGCCAGGCTGCCCAGGGCAGTGGTGGAGTCCCCACCCCTGGAGGGGTTTCCAAGCTGTGGAGATGTGGTGTGAGGGACACGGGGCAGTGGGGACCTGGCACTGCTGGGGGAACTGTGGTACTTGATGATCTCAAAGGTCTCTTCCAAACAAATTGATTCCCTAGTTCTATCCTCTATACTATAAAAAATGTCCTGCCTGAGTTGTCAGGTTGCTTATAACAGGGTAAAAGTTTCTGATTATTTCCAAGAACAGAGGTCAGCAAATCCATGCCTACCTCGACCCAGAACTCATTCTCCCACCAACTCCCTAGGTGCAAAGGGTGAAACCTGTGCAGGGTCCCAGAGAAGGGATATCTCCTTACCTGGTGGAATCTTGCAAACTGTTGCTGGGTGCCAGCCGTAGCGTTGGTTGCAGTTGGGAGACTGGACAAAAATGGCACTGTCACTAAGGCACTCAGCAAACACCTCACCACCAATGTAGTAGAGTCTTACTCCTCTCCCTAGGGAACACATGGCACAAGTTTGGTTTAGCTTAGAAGAATCATCTGCAACATCTGGAAGAAATGCTGGTAGAGACACAGGTGACCTCTGCATGAGACAGCTCTCAAAAAGCAGCTGAACCATGATGGAAAATGAAGCCTACCTCTTCTGGCCCACTGGGCACCCCCATAAATGAGCTCTGTCAGCCAGTGAAGCTGAGGAAGGCAGGAGGAAGAATTTATAAAGCCAGAAATGCACTTTCCAGCCCCGCTGTCAGTCATAGCCTGGCCTGCATCAATCCACCAACTCACAGCCTTCCTCCTCCTAACCTACACATCTCTGACATTTCCCAAGTGGATGTTCTATCACTTAACACACGGTTCTCAACCTTTTCCAAAAGACATCACAGCTGGATACAACTGTTGGTTTATTTACTGAGTGATTGGGAATTAAATTACACAATATTTTCAAATCATTGCCTTTTGCTTGAGATTCCTTCGTGCACAAGGACAAACACCACACTCCACTTCCCAGAGGAGTTTACACAAACTATTAAAATCTCAGTTAATAAAGAAATAAATTTCAAGAATACATCTTGGTTGTGCCAGTAAACATTTGCTGTGGGTCTTACATTCCTATTTGAGTCTCTTGCTTTCATTCTTCCATAGAGCACAAGGAGCTTGCTGAGTTTAAAGGCTGATTCCTGAATCTTGGTGGTGGTGTTTGTTTTTTTAATAGAAATCATATTAAAAATGAGTAAGAAACGATCATCCTCTATGAAAGTTTACTGCTTAGGAAAGGGCATAAAAGGGAGGAAAATCAGCACAAAAAGCAGCTTCATTTTTGACAGAAGTCAGCAGAAAACACAGCAAAGCAAAAGCAAATTTGCCTTTTATTAAAATTGCATAGGTCTGGGTTATTCTATTTAGTGCAAGTTCAACTGAAAACAAAATTGGATGTTAACTGGCAGCACAAGCAGGAAAAGTGAAAACTGAGATGAAACCCAAGGAACCGAGTTTCCATTTATAACAGAACAGTCAGTTAGAAAAGAAAATAGTGCAGGAAGGAAAAGGAATACACAAATTTACCACTTACATCCATCCAAACACAGAGGAGTGTGTGTAAAAGTTTAAATTTTAGTGTTCCTCAGTGCATTGCTGGGTTATACTTCTGTGAAAATACACCATGAGCGTTCCTAGGTGGAAGATTAACCCGCTAAAATGCCATGGCTACTCACACACCACTCTGCAACTGCCGTGGCTCTACAACTGTGGGCTCATCAGCTGAAGGAAAAGCTTCACATGCAGGTTTCCACCTTCTGCCTCCAAAGCCCAAGGCCAGGCAGCAGAACTCACCGATGTGCCTCCTGGTGAGCTCCACGGCGGCGTTCCTGTTGACGTTGGAGAGCAGGCCCAGGCAGAAGCGCTCCGAGTTGGAGGGGTCAGTGAAGCCATCCACGGTCATGGAGGGCTGTGAGGCGTGGAAGGTCTCCCCCACCCTCTGGTTGAGCTCGTAGTAGGAGATGGAGCACCAGAAAGCTGGCTCGCAGTAGGTGACGGGCTGCAGATCTGCACAAAAGCCAAAGCCAAATGAACCGCGGGGCCTCGGGAGGAGAAGGGGGAGGAAAAAAAGGGGTTTCAAAGGGACCCTTTTGAAATGTTCTGCTTCCTTCCCTGGGCTGAAGTTAACCACCAAAGTTTAATCACTGGACAGATTTTAATGGACTGCAGAGAGAAAGTTAAGTCATCCCTGAAGCTTTTGGCACGTGGGACAGTCACCAATAGTCCAAGATATTAGTCACTGAGCAAGTGGGGTGGCACTCAACTGCCTCCGTCCTTGGAGGAAATAAAAAAGACCCCAAACTTAGCTTTACTATGTAACGTGGGATCACTCTTAGCCAGCCAATACCCTGGGAATGGAAGAGAAAAGAAACAGGAAACCTTAGAAAGAGCAGACCACAAACATGCTTTCAGGTCTCCAGAACCCTAATGCTGTGCACTCACACCACGCAGCCAGCAAGTCCAGCTTTCCTTCTTACTGGCTCTGTTACCATCTCTCTAGCACTGATGAAACCAGTGGAGTTGTCTGCAATATGCAACAAATTGTATGGAAGACTGGCATCAGTGATTTAAAAATCAGATACTTTCTTCCAGTGCACTTGATCTAAGAAAATCCATTTCCACAGCAGATGCTCCATCACTGGAGGTGTTCAAGACCAGGTTGGATGGGACTCTGAGCAACCTGGTCTAGTGGGAGGTGTCCCTGCCCATGGCAGGGGGACTGGAACTAGATGATCATGAAGGTCCTTTCCAACCCAAACCATTCTGTGATTTTTGATGGCACATCTCTTTTACTGGCACTATGGTTTGACTCAGCCTGTGGACTGAAGCAAAAGGATCAAAGTTCACACTGAGAAGTGTTCTACTCCCCACATCCAATGCAAGAAATAAAAGAAGAATTCCATCCAGTCCTCCCCCCAGTTTATCACTTCATCTCCATTCACATAGTGCTTAAAAGCAGAAGAGCTTCCCATCTGGCCAAAGAGTTAACATCAAGCAGCCAGCCCCAGCTTTTTCCATAGACTTTCCCATCTGCTGCTCCTGCAAGACTTAGGTGAATCTGGGGCTTAAGAGATCAGCTCCAAAAAATCAAAGACAGGTTTTTTACCACCCCAGCCTCCTCTCACACTGAAGAGGGTCTCTGCAGAGGTTTGACTCACTCTGCACCTGGCATCTGCTGTTACTCTGGGATCTTTAGAAACAGGTTGAAGCAGCGTGGCTTCAGCCAGAAGATGTGTTTGGTTACCTCTCCATTACTGTGGTGCACGAGTTCCCAAAGCAGCTAATAATCAGAAAAAAAAACCCCTTTGGTTTCTGCTTTGAGTAACAGCAAATAAGGAATCAAATAAAAGTGCATCTGGGGAACTCTGTAATCCTTAGCAGATCTTCAAAGTCCATGAATTTTCGAGTCTATACCCGTCCCCAGCTTCTTTCACAGTCTCTCTCTTTCCTTAATTATTTCATCTGAAAGCAAATTGCTCTCTCAAAAGCCAAGCTCGATGTTCCTGCTCTCCTCCACGCATTACACCCACAACAGAGAAAGTCTCTTCCTCTTATGGAAAGGGCCAGGCTGCTCGAGGGGAAAGCCAACAGAAGGCAGCTCAGCTGAAGAGTTCTGGTAAGCACACCCGCTGGCTTGTCACATTCTAAACCATGTTACAGCTTAAAGCAAGCCCCTCTCCTCTCAGCACAGCTGACACGGAGCACAGCCAGCAGTCACACAGGTTTAGTGTCCCTTGTGTCCAGACTGGTACTACTCAAGTTATTACAAGACCAAAGCCTGTGTTGCCCTCTATGGTTTCGTGGTCCTCTCCTTCAGAAACCACCTCCGCTCGGCTGGGACTTGAGGGAACTGTGGATTCCCCGCTGAAGGATGTACAGAAATTCTATTTCCAGCTTATTTGCAACTTGAGGAAAGACACAAACCAACAAATCCTATTTTGGAGAAAAACTTGCCTCTCAAAAACGCAACCAAGCTTTTAATAATGCTGCTTTCTCCTGTGATTTGTGGTTTTAGGTTGCAGCTTAAGCTGCCACGGGATGGGCAAGTCTCCTCTTGTGCAAGAACTGGCCTCAATATTCATTTTCAATTTACAGATTTGATGTTTGGGGAAAAGTAAGAGAATGTAGACCTGCTAAAGCCAAAGAATCCTGAGGGGGTACACAATCAACTAAAACGTAATGCATTAAACTCAAGCAAATCCTGCCTGAATTGTCTCCACACAGTTTCAGCCTTGGCTCACTCCAGCTTTGCTTTCACTGCAAAGTGTCCAGTGAACATTGGGACACTCCCTGGATTGCATCTCCCCGACAAGATGAAAGGACTGTGTTCAGCTGCTGAGGAGAAGAATCTGCTGGCTGCTCTGCACTGTGTGCTCGAAGCATGAGAGTGGTTGTTGATTTAGTACCTGTCCATGTGTTTGGGACAGTGTCTATGAGAAGTCCCTCATGTACGTCATCCAGCCGTGTTAGCTGCAGCCACATTAATTCTAAGGCCCACAGAAATAAGAGGGTAAGTAGGTGTGCACACTCCACTCCCCTTGGTACTTTGAGGAGAGCTGTCTCTTCTTGGTGTCAGCCCAGGCTGGGGGTGAAGGGCTGGAGAGCAGCCCTGGGGAGAAGGTCCTGGTGTTGCTGGGGTGAGGAGTTGGCCAGGAGCCCGCCCAGCCTGGCCTGCCCCCCCAGCAGCATGGGCAGCAGTT